AATATACTCGAGCAATTAAAGTCCGGCTTTTAGTTCTTTCAATACTTTGATTATGTTCGGATTTTGATACATTTAGCTTTTCCGACAATTTTTAATTTTGTTTTCCTATTATTTATTATTTTTCATTTCCGGAATTTTTATAGGTTATTTTTTAGCCATATAATGTAAATTAAGTATGTAGAAATTTATGGAATCCCGTTGAGGCCAATTCAGAGAGAGAATTTTTTATTGCGTTTAAACGCAAAAAAATATTTCTCTCTTTAAATTAGCCTTAACTGGCTTCCGTAAAATTTGGATAGGAAAGTTTTTTGGGGAAAAGCAAATTCATTTTCAACTTTAAATAAAAGCATATGAATATGTCACATATTTTACTACCACACGTATACACTACGTGTGCCCAAGTGAAACAAATCTTAAATTTGTTTGCTTCATTGATAATATACAAAAAAAAACTCAATTTGCTTTTTGGGATTTCAATGATTTATATGCATGATGTATCTTTTATCTAACTTGAAAAAGTCCTCAATCCTGCGTTCAATACCGAAAAGTACTTGTCTACCTAAAAAATGAAACCTTAAAATGTCAGAAATTAAAAGTTGAAAATATCAAAATAATTCAGAAATGAAATGCGATGGCAAATCATTGGTGAAATGCGAATCAAAAAATCTTTTGGTTTTGAAAACTCGTTACTATTGGCACCTGTTCAATGATTAGTATTGTTTGTTTAATACCCAGGAGCAGAGAAGATGATTTACAAAGAATTAATGTATTTTCACCATATGATCAATAAAGCCCCATCCTTAAGCCAAGACCTGCCGCCATTTATCTCAGAAAAGTGTAACGCAAACAAATGGTAACTTGAAATTAATTTTATTAAAGTGTGGCGATATTATGGGCACGGCTGTTATTTAGTTTCAAATGCAAAACAAACAATATCATATGGGCAATGGGCAGCCAAGACAAGAGCATGCCCCAATCAAATGCACAAACAACATTCAACATCAAAGCAAATCATATATCAAGGTCATTACCAAAGGTCAAAGTTCATATAGTGGTAAGTCAAAGTTCATACAACATCAAAAGTTCAAAGTTCACAACATCAAAGTTCAAAGTTCACCATATATATATATAGAAAGCATTGACCCTGGGAGGTGCAGAGGTCAAAGCTTACAATATAATTACCAAAATGCCGCTTATACGCCAGAGGTGTTATTTACGATATATTTATTACGAATTACATGCCGCTTATGTGCCTTCTTTACTTGTCGTTTATATATCAGTCACTGTTTAGGAAACATTGGCCCTGGGAGGAGCAGTGGCCAAGGTTTGCGAAAAGTTCATCTAAGTTGGTCTCCAGGTAGACTTTTTCTTGTAACAGCCGTACCATTTGATATTAAGTGATCCTTTTGTAGGACAGCTGCAATAGAAAGAAAAACACAGCGCAAAAATCTATTCGAATAAGGGTTGGGTGAGGAGGGTATTTTTCTAAATATCTAAATTTGCAAAAAATTATCCTTTAAAATTGCACCAACCTCATTCATATAGTCTGTGAATGAAAAAGGATTAACGGAAGTTGACTCAGGGGGAATAACTCTAATTGATTATAGGGATTATAGGCGGATCTATGGATTTTGTAATATGGGAAATTAACGCTTTCTTCGATAAAAGCCTCCAATTCGAATAGAATTGGATGTGATATTATCTCAGAAAAGTGTAACGCAAACAAATGGTAACTTGAAATTAATTTTATTAAAGTGTGGCGATATTATGGGCACGGCTGTTATTTAGTTTCAAATGCAAAACAAACAATATCATATGGGCAATGGGCAGCCAAGACAAGAGCATGCCCCAATCAAATGCACAAACAACATTCAACATCAAAGCAAATCATATATCAAGGTCATTACCAAAGGTCAAAGTTCATATAGTGGTAAGTCAAAGTTCATACAACATCAAAAGTTCAAAGTTCACAACATCAAAGTTCAAAGTTCACCATATATATATATAGAAAGCATTGACCCTGGGAGGTGCAGAGGTCAAAGCTTACAATATAATTACCAAAATGCCGCTTATACGCCACAAGTTCCCTGAGATGAGGATCAGAATGAAACTCATCCAGGGAACTCCGCCACCATGGTGGGGGTAGAGCGGCATATACGAACAGCCGTACCCAGGACCCTTGCTAATTGGGAAAGCAGGATTGACCATGGGCAACGATAGCCTCAAGTCCCCCCTGGAGAGAGTTTAGAAAAATGTTATTCCCCAACGAGGATAAGTGTACCCCATCCTGTAAAAATAAAGCTGGATCAGGTTTAATGTCTGAATGGCGAATTATTGCGCCCCCAGATTGCAAGACAATTGCAGCTATACCAGAATTAACCCGTTTGCGTGCATTTTCCATAGCTTTTAAATTTGCTGAATAGCGCCATTGGAGACGCGGAAGTATAAATGACCATATAATCCTACTGTTTCGAAAGTGATTCCTTAGAAATAAAACCAACTGCTTTGCAACCACCCTTATTTTTCTGATCGATACATTGCCCAAGTCATTCCCCCCACAATGTATAAGGATGAAATTAGGTACAGGGCCCACCTTTCCAAGAGTTCTAATCTTTTGTTTAGTTTTACTTAACTGGAGGCCACTATAACCCTGCCACCACAGTGAGATGTGTTTTCTTTCTAATGTCAAATTTGTACCACCTGGTCTTAATACAGCTTCCAAAAAGGCGTGCTTGATTATTGATGAACCCACCAACCATATTGTCTGTATATCTAAAATTAGATTAAAACTTTGGTATGCGAATGTAGGATTTGTAAGAATCAGATTTCCAACGACCAGATCTCTGAATGTCATGAGTTGAAAATCCTTTTAACGCGAGATCAGTACTCGCGCCGATACGAAAAGAGTGAGATTTGTATCCTGAGATACCAGGCAAATTTAGGTGCTTTACTGCCTTACAAAGTACCCCCGTAAATTGATATCGTGTGAGTGGGGATAAATCGAAGTGTCGAAATAATGTACCTGAACCCTCTGGACGGATGCTGACGTATTTAGTAATGAGCTGATATGGACATGCTACACCACCCTGCTTATCTATTTGAAGTACTGTGCCTTTACCTAACTGGTCCGTTTTCGAATACCGGATAGTCAGTAAGAGAGATTGCGTTTCGTGATTAATGGACAAATTGTCGAATTGAATTGTGTTTTGTTGATCACCTTCTCTTGTATTAACTGTTAATTCGCCAACTCTTAAAAATCCATGAAATGCCAGGGAAAATGCAGCCGAGAAAAGAGCTGTTTCAAAAGCATTGGTACATATTATGGGCAGAACTTGAATAATATTTAGCAAAATTGTTTTCGTTATTGGCAGTCTAGTATCTACTTTATGTCTCAAACGTTTCATGCCCTGCAATAACTTTGTAACCAAGAACTCTGGGGTTGGATCGTGAACACTCTGCAATTTACAATAAAATGAAATGGCAGACAAGTATGACCTCACGGTACCATATGCGAGGCCGGATGATGATGAATGCAAAACGAATTGCACGACTGAGTTTAATGTAGGGGGCCATGGCGTGCAATCAATGAGTCTACATACTTTGTAATATGCTGCCATTCCAGCCCGATGAGATTTATGTGTGTTTTCAGATACTGAGGCGTCTAAAAGTTTAGCAAACTCAGGCTGGAGATGATGATGCGGAAAGATAGGGGCACTGGGCAAGGGTGTTCCCTGGCATGTGGAGCTGCTTGTCGGAATCTGGCCCACTGCTTACGAGAAATTGAATCAGCAACTACATTGTCTTTACTTGGTATGTAAACTGCACGAAACAGAATATTATAATTCATAGAAGCAAGGACAAATGGTCTAAGTAGTTTCATGACCCGCTCTGATTTAGAAGTGAGTTTATTTATTATAGCGACTACAGCTTGATTGTCTATATGGAGAATGATCTTTTTATTAGCGAGTTTGTTACCCCATAAATAGACGGCCAAGACCACCGGAACTAACTCTAAAAAGGTCATGTCTTTAAGTAGGTCATTGGACGCCCAGGTCTCTGGCCAAGGGTAAAAACACCATTCCCCTTTGAAATAAGCACCACATCCCAAGTAAGACGAACCGGAACTATCTGTGTAAAAATTAATGTTGTTGTCTGACGTCCACTCAATATCTAAAAAATACACAGTCCCATTAAATGATTAAAGAAAATTAATCCACATGTACAAGTCCTGACGCATTGATTGAGTTATCCTTATGTGATAATGTAATTCTGAAACTCCTATTGTAGCATTATAAAGCCGACGCAGAAATGCCCTACCTGGTCTTATGGCTCTTGTAAAGAAATTCAGTTTACCTAAAACAGATTGTAATTGTTGGAGTGTCATCTTGCGTTGAACAACGAGATGGTGTAAAATACCCTGTAGCTCTAAGCATTTTGAATTGGGGATCTTAACTAGCATATGATAAGTATCTATCTCAAAACCTAAAAATGTCATAACCATAGTAGGGCCTTCAGATTTGTCCTCGGCAATAGGAACACCTATATCATCGCAGACGTCTTGAAAATTCGACATAAGATCTTGACAGGAATGGGCATCCCTCCCAGCAAATATAAAATCATCTAGATAATGATCCATTGTTGATGTTTTAGAACGCTGTATCGTAGCCCACTGCAAAATTGTAGAAAAATCCTCGAAAACCTTACACGAAATGGAGCACCCCATAGGTAAACATTTGTCTATGAAATAATTACCCTGAAATTTAAAACCCAGGAGATCAAAATCGCCGGGAAATATTGGAAGAAGTCGAAATGCGGATTTTATATCTCGCTTACCTATGAAAGCCCCCTTCCCTAATTTAGCAATCATCTGAATCACTGAATCAAAGGATGAATATTGCCCATGATAATGAAGTTTAAACCCTTGAGAGAACCCTTGGATTAGGCGATTTGCTATGATTCTGTTAGGATAGTGGACGAGACATTTTTTAAGGGCGTGTACATTAATAGGCGTTGAACCTAGACGCCATAGATTGCGGGGTGCGGAATCTTGGTCTTGAGTAGGTGGGGCGCTGGGTGTTGCTGCTGGAATACCCCCTATAATTGGTATTTGCATTGGTTGAATACCCCTTATAGTTGGTATTTGCATTGGTGGTTTGTGGACGAAAACTTGACTGTCCATAGAATTGACCACTTGAATTTTGTTGGCGAAATATTTGTGCGGACTCAGTGTTTGAGGCTTGTGTAAGGCAATGTATCTGTGGATGGTTACTACCACATCGAATACAACTGTGTTTATACATGCATGGGAATTTGTCACAAGATCCCTTGTAATTGAAATTGAAGCATTTATCATTATTGGTTTTGGGTGCATTTGTTACGTTATAAGCGGGCCCAGAATGCATATACATCAACCATAATTCCGAGTCAATTTCACCCCAAGAAGACACAGGATTTTGCTCTTTGCGCAGCCTAAACTGCGTATCATATTCTTTCCAAGATATAGCCCCCCTGCTAAAACCCATTCTTACGGTCTGTATGTACTTAAGTAGGTCAAGAGTCTTGGCGGGATGTGCACTCAAGTACACACTTGCAAATATGAGCATAAGGTCAGTCCATTGCTCAATATTTTCTACCTTTTTTGGGTTGGCATCTTTATAAATTATCTCACCCATACTATTCATAACTAATTTCTTTTCATCAGACCCTGATTTTGGTGTTACCAATGTGGCCAAATCAATATACTGCCCACTAATAATACGTTGTTTGACTGTGCTAGAAACATTCATACCAATCATATGTATTGATGGGACAGGAGCAGGGGTGGTACCAACATCTGTTGGAGTTGAGATTGTTGCTCCAGAGGTGGTCGGTGCAAAGGATGGCCCTGCACTTGTCGTCAACATGGGTTGCGCTTCCGCCACAACGGAAGTTGATGGAGCCTGGGTCGGTGGTATTGGTACATGTACTGGACATCCTGCCGACGCCGTCGACGAGTACGTCTGGGAATTCACAGACACCGTAGCCTGACTACCACTTGGCTGCTGTGTGGCAGTCGCTGCTGGTTGAGCCATTCTACGCTTCTTAGCTCTCGGTGGCATCGTGTTCAGAAAAGAAAAGAAAATTCTTTATTTATATATATATATATATATATATATATTATTTTTTATATTTGTAAGAAGAAATTTAGATTAATTATGTCCTCATTCTCACATGCTTTATTATTTCTTTTTATAAAGTTAGCCTAATTTTTTATTTATTTATTTATTTATTATTATTATTATTGTTTTTTATTATTATTATTATTATTATTATTTATTTATTTTATTTTATTTTATTTTTTTTTATCTCCCCTTGGTATGGAAATCTGAAACGTGTCGGATCAATTTATAAAACAAAGAAAATTTAATTAAGCCAAAGCAATATGATATAAATCCTAACGATCAAGATAATTGACTTAATAATCATTATATCTTATCACATACTTACATCATATAATCTGTTTTAATGAAAACTTATATAGATACAACGTGGTCGGCTAATACAAAATGGCCACAACAGACGCTAGAAAAATTATCATTATAAAATCAAGGATCATCGGGAAATCATGAAAAAATACTCCTAAATTGATTGCAGCAAACAACTACCAAATAGATAACAAAAACATCCATATGTATTATACCCATTAACTATTTTTCTAAATATCTAAATTTGCAAAAAATTATCCTTTAAAATTGCACCAACCTCATTCATATAGTCTGTGAATGAAAAAGGATTAACGGAAGTTGACTCAGGGGGAATAACTCTAATTGATTATAGGGATTATAGGCGGATCTATGGATTTTGTAATATGGGAAATTAACGCTTTCTTCGATAAAAGCCTCCAATTCGAATAGAATTGGATGTGATAAAAATTAACAAATTTAGAAGAGGCACCCTTCTCCATAAAAACAATATACGTAATTAGTTTGATTGATACCCAGGAGCAGAGAATAAGATTTTTTTAACAATTCATATATTTCACTATATAATCTATATACCCCACCGTAGCACTCCTGACCCTAGAGTCAGGAATTCCACAATTAAATTCTTTTTAATTACATTCATACCAACAGTTAGACTGCTTGATGTCCAAGAATAAAGAAGTAGATTTTTAAAAATTGCTTTAATTTTAATGATTTTTAGCCCCACCAATAAGGCATGGACCATGAAATTCACAATTTTTGTTCCATAGATTCCTTATTCCAAAATTGATGAAAATTTGTTGAGTGGTTGCAGGGAAAAATTAATCTGAGAATGTTAACTCACAACGGACGACGACGGACAACAACGGATAGCAATAGGTCACCTGATGACCTATTAAAATTGAATAAAAGAGTTGTTTCTGTATTATTTGTCACAGATACATATTTGTGACACGATATACAAAATATCTTGTTAAGTGAATATTAAAAAAATAATACAAAGTTTATAGATATGTTTGTTTCGATACTATTGACAGAATTAGAGAGAGAGAGAGAGAGAAAGTTGTGTAAGGATGGGATTGAATCAAATTAACTATATTTATTGTAATACTGGTAAGACCATGTCATGGAATTGGAAGATGTTTTATTGTGCATTGTTTCAGTGGCTTACACAAGCAAAGGCCGATCTTTCCATTTATCTTTAAGTCATTTAATTGATAATTGCACTCTATTTCATTGTAGATAATAATGATTTGATATTTAAATAGGGTAAAACTGCATGTATTTGAATTTTTGACCTCCTTCATCACCGTCAGACATCTAATGAAAACATTATGGAACAAGAGGCCCAGGGGCCACATTGCTCACCTAAGCAAATGGATAGGTAATTCTTTTCACCCAAGGATACTTTGTGCCAAGTTTGGTTGAAAATGTGAAAAGTTTACAACGACGAACGGCAATGACGACGACAGACAACGGACAAATTTTGATCAGAAAAGTTCACTTGAGCCTTCGATTCAGGTTAGCTAAAAGAGGAAAGTATTTCAAAGCCGTTAGTAATAAGAATTTGTAAATGTATTGGTTGATACCAATATTTTGACCTTGATAACACATATAGCATATCATTGGGTTTTATTTTAATCTAGGTTTGTGTAAGGCGTTTGTTCTGGTATCCTAATTTTATGTTCTGTGTACCTGAGCTAGACATAAAGGACTCGGTCGATTAAAAGATCTTACCCTATCTTGAGGAATTTATTCCACATCTGACAATTTCTTGGCTCCTTCTTTGTGCCCTATTCACAACTTTGTCAGTTATATTTTCTTAGATAGATCACTGTTGGTTATTTTCATTATTTTACAAGCTTCAGCGCATGTTTGAAATTTACAAACAAAACTAAATTTAAAAAAGCAATATCATATACTAGTAGTACAAATTTTTATGATATTGAACGTACCTTTCTAAAGTCTGATGGATCCCTTCAAATGATGAATCAAACACAAAAATCGTCAATTTATCTCTTATTTTGATGGTCAAAGTTAATTATTATTATTATTCTTATTTTATTGATTTATAAAGCGCAAAATCACATATAGTTTCTATGCGCTGTACAATGGTTTTGCTAATATTTAAAAACAATATAAATTAATAAAACCTATAAATCTATTATGGAAAGTAAATAATCGATAAAACAAAGGGACCTTAAAATAAAACATGGTAGTAATATACAATTAATAACCCCTTGTGAGGTCAACATGGTGAAATAAGGACCCGAGACCTGGCCCACGAGGTGACCTGACCTGACCGAGGCCGCGTAGCGGCCGAGGTCAGGGCAGGTCATCGAGTGGGCCAGGTCTCGGGTCCTTATTTCACCATGTTGAACTCACAAGGGGTAATTAATTGTTTTATTATACCGATATATATTGAAAAGTATGAATTTCTAACCGTTATCAATTCTGTCTTTGATCGGGATCGGGATTCGCTACAGACCGGATAGCGAAGTTGTTTCCTTTACATTGACGTCTGCAAGTCGTGTAAGTTTTTGCATCATGATTTACTGATTAAAACAATATTTAGTTGATAGCGACATACCTTGTTATAGCTAACGATTACTTTTCCTCTACACAGTCAAAATCTAACACATAATTCAACTCTTTATAGAGCCGCCTCTACATTCTATTGAACTGAACTGTAACGATATATTGAAACGATATATACATGTATTCATAATATTGTAACGATAAAATTTTACCGTATTCTGTATGGTAATGCAAAACAGACCATGCACAATTTTAAAAACATGTTGTTTTTTTTAGAATAATTATTATTTTATGCATTAACTTTACTCAAAAACGAATTTTTGATTAAGAGGTCATTTTTAGCGGTCATTAAAAATAATGACCGGGTCATTATATCCCACGTGCAATGATTCCTAGGTCAGTATTGCTGTAAACGGTACCATTTGGAGTCATTGTTGTGTTTTAAAGTTTTCTTACCAGCCAACCAAATTCGAGTATTATCAATAGAGGTATAATAAGATGAAATTGGTTAACGTAGACAAGGCAAAATAAAATGAAAATAAAAACTGTTATGTACACAGGAAAGTACTTCTGAAGTTGAGTATACGAGAGGGTACACATGGAGTCCTAGGTGTTATGCTGGAATTTTTACATTCATAGATTATATTCACGCTTGAACAAGAGTGTTTTTAGGTTCTTGCGGAATGATCCATGTGCTTCTAGCTCTCGTAGTTCTAAAGGCAGGTTGTTCCACAGTTGTGCGCCTAATGTGCTTATGGCTCTTGCACCATATTTGTTCGATGATTTCTTTACTATTACTTTCCATTTGTCATAAACAAACAGTCTAGGTTAGTTTATCAGTCAAGTTTAATATAAACACTGCGACAGTACAAACCCTATATCTTTAAATTAGGTATAATATGTAGAACATATGTAGTATATGTAGTATATATCTCTCAACAAGTGCATCTTCAGAGAGCAGACGATGGGGACAAGCTCACTTGTCTGATATCTGAAGATAAACTCGTCAAAAGCTTAAGGTACTCTATATACTACATATGTTCTACATATTAAACCTAATTTACATGTGCGTTTGTACAGTGAATTAGATTAAAAGATGGAAATTTGTTCGTATGATTTCGTTACTTTCAGTTTGTTTTAAAAAAGTAACTTGAAATATAATGAGCAGTGGTCGATCTCATAAAATATAGTGATGGTATACAAATCATCGAAGTCGGTGACTGCTAGAATCACAAGAAGAGGGATTAGGAGCTCAGGAGGAGCAAGCATCCCTTGTCAACTGGTCATGTGTACTAGCAACAGCCCTCTGTACTGATAAGATATAAACAGAGGTGTGTGAGTTTCTCCGCGTATCCTATCATGGCAAGAGGTCCAATGTGAATGTGACCGGTCAAAAGGGGATGCTTACTCCTCCGATGTATATGATCCCATTCCTATGAGTAGTAGAGAATCCTGTTTGTATTGTTTAATTGGACTTTACAACATGATAACTGATCGTTATGAGTCACACTATGACCAAACGACAGCTATTAAGTTCAGTTTGTAAATTATACAATATTAACGACTATACAAATTTTTTTATTGTGACCTTAAAAGTTAATATAATAAATATTATGAAAAGTATCCAAAGATTAGTATGCCTGTTGAAGTCAGCTGTTGACCTTGGTCATAACCCTCGAACAGATAAAAGATAACTCTCTTATTTGAAAAAAAAATTGGTAATTACTATATCAATATATCGTCAGTTTCTTGTACTTAAGCCACCAAGGCCCTTAAAAAGCAATTTCATTTGGGGGCGGGGGGGCAAATATTTTCAATTACAAAAATTCCCTCAAAAGCAAAAGAAGAGGTCCACACCGCTTACCTGAACACTGTGGCTAAAGGGTGGAAATATGTTTTGAGTACTTGAATCAAGACTAACAAAGGATGCATCCATATTTGAGTTGCGTCAAACGAAAAGGGACCTTCGTGACCAAATTTTCGAAAATCGGGTTTTCGCCGTTTCTGAAAGAGCTAGTCTTTCTGAATATTTTGATACCAAATATTTTATTATACACCCTCTAAATTCTAATTAAAACTCCAAATAAAAATAATGCAATGCTGACAGGTTAACGCTGTAAACCGTTG